ACAACACCTTGTTGTGATCCTCAAACCATTCCTGAACAATTTTTTGCAGTGTGGCAGGGTGCACTATCCTGCTGAAAGAGGCCCCTGCCCTCAGGAAACACCGCTGAAATACAGGAGTGTACGTGGTCTGCAACAATCTCTAGGTAGGTGTTGCATGTTCAAATAACACCCACATGCATGCCAAGACCCAAGGTTTCCCAGTAGGACATTGCCCAAAGCATAACCCTGCATTCTGCTGTTTGCCTTCTTTCCATAGTGCATTCAGCTGCCATCACTTCCCAGGTAAACGGCACATGCACATTCCCATCCACCTGATCTAAAAGAAAATGTGATTCACCAGACCAGGCAGCTGTCTTGTATTCCTAAATTTTTCAGCAACTTGAGCTACAACAGCTCTTCTGTGTGATTGGACAAGAAGGCTAGCCTTCACTCCCAATGTGCCTTGGGCACCCATGATCCTGATGCCAGTTCACTGGTTGTCCTTCCCTGCACCATGTTTGGTAGATTCTAACCACTGCATACTGGGAACACACCACAAGACTTGCCATTTTGGAGCTCTGACCCAGTAGTCTAGCCATCACTATTTGGCTTTGTCAAAGTCACTCAGATCGATTGGCTTACCCATTTTTCTTGCCTCCAACACTTGAAATTCAAGAATCTTCTGTTCACTTGCTGCCTAATAGATCCCACCCTTTGACAGATGCCATTGTAAAGATATAATCAATGTTATTCATGTCACTAGTCAGTGGTCAGTGGTTTTAATATTATGGCTGATCAGTGTAAGCATTACGTATATATATTTTTAGTACACTGGTCGGTGCATTGTCCCACCATAAGGTTCATAGATAAAATGAGAAAAAGTATCAATAAAGGGGAAAAGGCAATAGCAGTAAAAAAAGTATATATTTTTTATATATTTATGTATTTTAAATATTATTTTTACTGCATTTGATCTGTGAATAAAATCAACATTCAGTGTCTGTCCCATAAAAGCAATCCCTTTTCTCATATATTGTCTCTTTTTTTGGGTGCTATATGCGAAACTCTGAATGCCAAATGTTAGGACATCATGTTTTGTTATATGTCTGCATGGAGCTTTGGAGATATGAAATTTGGCCCAACAGCTAGCCAGACCAAATTCAGTTGATACGCAACTCGGCCAAATGCGAATATGCAGGTCTACTAATAACCTCTTCAGTACAACTTAACGAAAGTGGGACAACTTAGAACACTTTTCTATTACTCATGTATTCATTTTGAATTACACTTGCTTCAAGCTATTTGAAATACTGGAAGTCAAGTGACCCTGTCATATTTATTGTCAACTATTTGGAGCAAACTGTGTCATCTTCATACTGTGCAAGGGTATTGTAAAAACATAACAAATCAGGCTTTAATGAAACAAAACTCAAATCAAGTGCAGACCTTTATACATGATTCTTGCTTTTGTTGAAAACTTGTATAATTATTGTAATCATCAATTATGCATTCAAAATGTCTAAATATCATGAAATAACTGTTAGTTTGTTTTATCCTATTGAATTATCCGAATGTGCACAATATCAATCAAATACCATCTTCACAACTGTTTCTGATTTATCATTACTTAACAATAAGTTGTTTTTTTAATAACAAAAGAATACATGAACATAATTATATAGTAAACCCCCTAAAGCTGTTCATGGATAACTGGAACAAGTAAATTATGAAATTTGCACTACTTTAATTGTTCATGTATTCAGTCCTTGAGAAACTTTATGAAGGAATAAAATGATTTAGTTTTACTGCATGCCTTATTATTCAAAAGTTTAATATTAGCATAGAAGCAATAATTAGAATTTTGATTGTAAAATGCAGTTGTGTACTGAATTATGGTTATTTGTAAGGAAAGTCATAGCATTTCGGAGCATATAGCTGCCTAAAAATTCCACAATGATATAAATATTATAATGTCTGATTTGGACATAAGTACCCAAAGAGCACAGGATGCTGTTATTGCTACTTACAGACAATCCCTGCAACATGCTCAGTTTACTGAGACTCTCTATCCTCCTTTATTTGATGCTGCTTGAAGTAATAATGTAGTTTGACCAAAAAAACTTGCAGTGTAGTGTAATATAGTGTAAGAGCAAAGAATATAATTTTCTCTGCAGAAGAACATAAATTGGACTTTATGGGCTAAACGTTTGCAGTGCCAAACAGAGGCATCTCAATTTGTACCCTCCAACCCATTTTTGTTATTTAAATTACAAGCACATACTCACATATACACATACATTTACACATGCTTACAATCATATACATCCATCCATTCAGAGAAATACAAGGACACATATATACAGACACAAATATTGATATGAAAGAAAAAAGTGAACTTAGTGGATCGTACTACCACCAAAAGATCACTCAGTGGAGCGCTAAATATCAAATTCTTACCCCTATTGGAATAACGTATATATCACTTTAAGGGGCAGACAGCATAATAAAATCTACAACAAGAAAATACACATCATGGTGCAGTATGCTTGTAAGGTGTGAATGGAGTGGAAGAAGATGTATGTCCAACTCACATGGTAAAGAGCCTGGAGATTGGCTCAAATCACAACAGCTGAGGTATGTTTGGTAATACCAGACCTTCTCCAGATATACAGCTCACAACATATGTGGATAAAAAAGGACAAAAATCCTAGTGCAAATATGTTTAAAATAAACAAGTGGTCACATATAACAGTGCATGAATGTGCTCACCTGGAATAGAGCCAATTGTACTAGGCTCTATGTATAAGCGTGTGGTGCCTTTAAGGGAGGCACTACCCTTCTTTAGAAAATGCAGGAAGCAGTTGAAGATCCACTACCAGATGTATAAGGTAAAAGTAACAATTTATTAAAAAAAAAAAAAACAATTAAGCAAAGTAAAACTGTATATACAGGTACCAAAAAGTAAAAGTCTCTGGGGTGGTCTTCCTTGGAGTTCCGAGACGCGTTTTCGCCGTGGGGCTTTCTCAATCGGATGAATCTGCTTCCTGAATGGGCGGTGTTTAAATGTTGGTGTCGTCCGTCTGATTGGACGTGCTGATTGCCGGGTAGCCAATCGTAATGCATGGAATGTGGAGGTGTGTCTCACAGCTGACGGTCGTGAGTCCGGGAGCTCAAAACCCGGAAGTACCATGAAGTGTAGCCAATCTCACGTGGTTAACTGACGTTGTCATTTGGAGCATGTTCAGTGGTTACTAAGCTGTCCGAGGAGCCATCTTGGTTATGGGCAATAGCTCCATAGTTAGATCCATTTTTTAAAAGTCCAATATTGCATAAAGAGTCCCATATTAATAGTAATATATAAAATAAAAAGCAAAAAGAACATGGTTATACATAGCAGAATAATAATATTAAGCATATATACATAAAGGGACTATTGACTCTCATTATATGCTTGCAATCAAAAGGGAAATGTGCTAAAAAAAAAAATAAAAAAAAAAAAGGCAATCAGATGATTGAAAAAAAGGTGGCACAACACATGTCAGTGAATGAAGTGGATAAGCAGTGCCAACTGATCTAAAAACATACATAAAAGATCCAATTAAAATTTAAGTCTTATCTTAAAAAGTGGCAAAGCTCAAAATCATTATTTAAACCATATGGTTGTAAACTGTTTAAATTAAAGATCCACTTCATTTCCATTTGTCCCATCTTTTTAATGGTATCATCACCTCTCCAATTAAGGTGAACTCTCTGGATTCCCAAAAAAGTCATCTGATTTGGATCACTATTGTGTTTGATTTTAAAATGTAGTGATAGACTATGTTTGGTATATCCATTTCTGACATTGCGTACATGTTCTTGTATCCTAACTTGCAAGGGGCGAGTAGTGCGTCCTATATAGACAAGATTGCAGGTGCATTTAATCATATAAATTACATGTTTGGTGTGACATGTAATGATTTCTTTAATTATAAACTTTTGATCTTTATCATGAGGGTGTTGGAAATTTTTTATATGGCGTTTAGAACTTTTTGTGTTTTTACAAGCACCACAAATTCCACATCCATAAAAACCACTACTTTCATTGAATGGATTTCCTTTAATGTTTTTCTTCAATGAAGAATGGTTTTGAGTCAAATTACATTTTAAATTGGGGACACCCCTATAGACGAGTTTTGGTCTGTCTGGAAGAATTTGTTTTAGAACCTCATCGCTTTTTAAAATGGACCAGTGTTTATTTAAAATTTTCTTGAGTTGATTACTTTGACAATTAAAATCACTTATAAATGGCACATTATCCCAATTCATATTTGATGGTTTATTTTTGTACTGGATCAATGATTCTCTATCCTGCAGATTGACTTCATGGAGGGCCTTTTTAAGAAGTGAATTGTCATAGCCCTTATCACTAAAGTCACCAATAATTCTTTGTGCTTGTTCGCAGAACTTTTCATTATCTGTACAGTTCCTCTTAATCCTCATGAGTTGAGATTTTGGGGCATTTAGAAGCCATGGAGAATAATGACAGCTATTTCCTTGGATATAGCTATTTACATCAATTTTCTTAAAAAATGTGCTCGTTTTAATTACATTGTTTTCTATATATATATTGAGGTCTAAAAAGCTTACGTTTTCTTTACTATAGGAGCTGGTTAACTTAATGCCCCAATTGTTATTATTTAAATGTCCCAAAAACTGTTGAAGTGATGACTCATTTCCAGCCCAAATGAAAAAAATATCATCGATATAACGGCGATAGGTAACCAGATTCGCACTCCATTCTGGGAATCCAAAAATGTGTATCTGTTCCCACCGAGACATGAACAAATTAGCATAGCTGGGTGCGAATCTGGTGCCCATCGCCGTACCACACAGTTGCAAAAAAAATTGGTCGTTAAACCAAAAATAATTATTGGTCAGTATCCAAAAGATCCCTTCCAAAATAAAGTCTATTTGTGCAGGAGGAAATGTATCTGATATTTCTAAAAAATGTCTGGTTGCTTCACAGCCTTTGTCATGCGAGATAATAGTATATAACGAACTGACGTCGGCTGTAACCAGAACATAATCACTTTGTTCTGATTATGTTCTGGTTACAGCCGACGTCAGTTCGTTATATACTATTATCTCGCATGACAAAGGCTGTGAAGCAACCAGACATTTTTTAGAAATATCAGATACATTTCCTCCTGCACAAATAGACTTTATTTTGGAAGGGATCTTTTGGATACTGACCAATAATTATTTTTGGTTTAACGACCAATTTTTTTTGCAACTGTGTGGTACGGCGATGGGCACCAGATTCGCACCCAGCTATGCTAATTTGTTCATGTCTCGGTGGGAACAGATACACATTTTTGGATTCCCAGAATGGAGTGCGAATCTGGTTACCTATCGCCGTTATATCGATGATATTTTTTTCATTTGGGCTGGAAATGAGTCATCACTTCAACAGTTTTTGGGACATTTAAATAATAACAATTGGGGCATTAAGTTAACCAGCTCCTATAGTAAAGAAAACGTTAGCTTTTTAGACCTCAATATATATATAGAAAACAATGTAATTAAAACGAGCACATTTTTTAAGAAAATTGATGTAAATAGCTATATCCAAGGAAATAGCTGTCATTATTCTCCATGGCTTCTAAATGCCCCAAAATCTCAACTCATGAGGATTAAGAGGAACTGTACAGATAATGAAAAGTTCTGCGAACAAGCACAAAGAATTATTGGTGACTTTAGCGATAAGGGCTATCACAATTCACTTCTTAAAAAGGCCCTCCATGAAGTCAATCTGCAGGATAGAGAATCATTGATCCAGTACAAAAATAAACCATCAAATATGAATTGGGATAATGTGCCATTTATAAGTGATTTTAATTGTCAAAGTAATCAACTCAAGAAAATTTTAAATAAACACTGGTCCATTTTAAAAAGCGATGAGGTTCTAAAACAAATTCTTCCAGACAGACCAAAACTCGTCTATAGGGGTGTCCCCAATTTAAAATGTAATTTGACTCAAAACCATTCTTCATTGAAGAAAATCATTAAAGGAAATCCATTCAATGAAAGTAGTGGTTTTTATGGATGTGGAATTTGTGGTGCTTGTAAAAACACAAAAAGTTCTAAACGTCATATAAAAAATTTCCAACACCCTCATGATAAAGATCAAAAGTTTATAATTAAAGAAATCATTACATGTCACACCAAACATGTAATTTATATGATTAAATGCACCTGCAATCTTGTCTATATAGGACGCACTACTCGCCCCTTGCAAGTTAGGATACAAGAACATGTACGCAATGTCAGAAATGGATATACCAAACATAGTCTATCACTACATTTTAAAATCAAACATAATAGTGATCCAAATCAGATGACTTTTTTGGGAATCCAGAGAGTTCACCTTAATTGGAGAGGTGATGATACCATTAAAAAGATGGGACAAATGGAAATGAAGTGGATCTTTAATTTAAACAGTTTACAACCATATGGTTTAAATAATGATTTTGAGCTTTGCCACTTTTTAAGATAAGACTTATATTTTAATTGGATCTTTTATGTATGTTTTTAGATCAGTTGGCACTGCTTATCCACTTCATTCACTGACATGTGTTGTGCCACCTTTTTTTCAATCATCTGATTGCCTTTTTTTTTTTTTTTTTTAGCACATTTCCCTTTTGATTGCAAGCATATAATGAGAGTCAATAGTCCCTTTATGTATATATGCTTAATATTATTATTCTGCTATGTATAACCATGTTCTTTTTGCTTTTTATTTTATATATTACTATTAATATGGGACTCTTTATGCAATATTGGACTTTTAAAAAATGGATCTAACTATGGAGCTATTGCCCATAACCAAGATGGCTCCTCGGACAGCTTAGTAACCACTGAACATGCTCCAAATGACAACGTCAGTTAACCACGTGAGATTGGCTACACTTCATGGTACTTCCGGGTTTTGAGCTCCCGGACTCACGACCGTCAGCTGTGAGACACATCTCCACATTCCATGCATTACGATTGGCTACCCGGCAATCAGCACGTCCAATCAGACGGACGACACCAACATTTAAACACCGCCCATTCAGGAAGCAGATTCATCCGATTGAGAAAGCCCCACGGCGAAAACGCGTCTCGGAACTCCAAGGAAGACCACCCCAGAGACTTTTACTTTTTGGTACCTGTATATACAGTTTTACTTTGCTTAATTGTTTTTTTTTTTTTAATAAATTGTTACTTTTACCTTATACATCTGGTAGTGGATCTTCAACTGCTTCCTGCATTTTCTAAAGAAGGGTAGTGCCTCCCTTAAAGGCACCACACGCTTATACATAGAGCCTAGTACAATTGGCTCTATTCCAGGTGAGCACATTCATGCACTGTTATATGTGACCACTTGTTTATTTTAAACATATTTGCACTAGGATTTTTGTCCTTTTTTATCCACATATGTTGTGAGCTGTATATCTGGAGAAGGTCTGGTATTACCAAACATACCTCAGCTGTTGTGATTTGAGCCAATCTCCAGGCTCTTTACCATGTGAGTTGGACATACATCTTCTTCCACTCCATTCACACCTTACAAGCATACTGCACCATGATGTGTATTTTCTTGTTGTAGATTTTATTATGCTGTCTGCCCCTTAAAGTGATATATACGTTATTCCAATAGGGGTAAGAATTTGATATTTAGCGCTCCACTGAGTGATCTTTTGGTGGTAGTACGATCCACTAAGTTCACTTTTTTCTTTCACATTGTGTTTGTGTAGGATTGGGATACCTGCATGCGTGTTTGAGCTGCTGTTCTATTTATATATTATTGTTAAGCGCCTAATTGCACAGAGCACCTTTTTCTTGTACAAATATTGATATACATGCACACAGACTCACACACAAACACATGACACAAATATATACACATTGATATGCACACACAGACTCATACACATATTCATACATGCACACACCTAAGCTTTATTCTGTTTTTTTTTTGTTTTTTTTACAAAAAGGGAAAAAAGTACACTTGTTCACCTAAAGTAAAACTTATGTACTGCCTGGAAATAACAGTATCAATTCGATGTTATACCTGGATCCAGTTGTAACATCAAATTGGTATTGTTATTTCCAGGCAGTACGTAAGTTTCACTTTAGGTGAACAAGTGTACTTTTTTCTTTTTTGTATTCTGTATACCTAGGGTTATGCCCTGAGAGACCCTTGGAATTTCTCACTGGTGCACAGGCTCGTTAGGGTAAGAGAAGCACAAATATCAATACTGTGTTCTCTCTTTTACCCACTCTAGATCCTGGTTATCGTTTCTTTTGTTTTTATTTTTACACTTTTTTTTTACACTTTTTACACTTCTGCTCTGTGCTGATGTCTAAGCGGGAGTGATGTCACATCCCAGTTTCAGCATAAACACAGGCTGCATGAGGGAACTGGGAAAACAATGAAGAGCAATCCTCCCTTGGCAGATCCTAATCCAGCTATAGAGCGATCACATGGCCCGCGGGAGCCAAAGTTGACAGGGGGCACTGCCTGGGCTGTCAGGTAGTCCCCCATAAGCGGATCGCGGTGGAGGTGCGTACACCTCGGGCGTTGGGGCTCACAGACATTACAGCGTTCCATGCTACTGCAACGGCTTTTAAGCCCATTAAAAGAGGGACGGCATAGAACGCCATAACTGTGTTAAGGGGTTAAAGCATGTAACATCAATAATTATCTTTTGAAGCTCAGCAGAAAATTTTATATTGTCTATGTCATTATACAATACAGACTTATACAGTTATACTGAAATTATTAAAATAACCATTCCTAATTTTAATAGATATTACCCCAATAATAACATTAATATAAAAGCTTGTGTATGCTACAATCTATAGGTCTTAACAAGAGTATCTGTCAGTCTGTCTATGCTGAAAGAAACTTTGACACTTCAAAAGAAACTTAGAATCCCATTTGACTTCTCCAACAAAATATCGGAAGATACTGATTGAACTGTCCGGAACTAGATTTACTGCTTCGACTTAACATTCTTTTACTTTTAATGCTATTGAGTGCTTCTTCAATATAAACTGGGATGTCACAGGTTTTTTTAATCAGTATGTAACTGTGTATTTAGATCAAAGGGTATGAATTCGATACTGTAACAGTTCATTAACTCATGCACAGGCTACTATTCTTGCAAAATGTATTGCGCTATGACACAATAGACAAATTCCATCCATTTTTAGGAACCACAAATCAGAGACTTAACTATTTGTTTGCTGATTGGATTCAATTATATAAGCAATCCGCCATTTTGAGTTCAGCCTCCATTTTGTTGTTTACTTCTAGAAACTGTTTAAAATAGTCATAAGGATAGCATTACATTGTATCTTATTATTCAATTGTTTGCGCATTTAACCTTTTGCTTAAATATGATCTTAACAGATGTTTCCTTTAGAATATTAATACTTTCATTCTAAGTAACTTACCAAACCACAACTGTCTTGACCTTGACATTTTATAATTTCTTTCCACTTTTATTAATGCCAAATTTAAATATATCTTGTGATGAGTAATCTTTAACATTATCCAAATGTGATGTAATGTGACATAATAAGATACCTATATAACCTGATGTGTTCTACTAATGAACTCAGACTTTGGACCTCACAGTGGTGTTGTGTCTGAGTCAGTTCCCCAGGCCTGTAGGCGTGATGCCTGATTGGAATTTCTAAAAGAAGAACTTCAGTCGTTAGGAACCCCGGAGGAAAGAAAAATAGCCCCTGTATATTCTTTCACGCAGACTTACAGAACATTTGGTAAAGCAGATATAATGAAAAATATTGTGCGGCCTGTCATGCAAATCTGATGAAACATTGTGGCATAAGCCCCCTGTATGCAAAGCACTGTAATATTTTCCAACAAAAGGTGTCGTATAGCCTAATTTCAAAATGCTGGAGGATTAAATTGATATTGCTATTATGATGTGTAACATTTTTTTAAGATGTGTAACTTTTTTAGGGTAATGTTATATGAGAGAAAATTCATTCTACTTATGTATGTTTAGGAGGATGGTGAAAGTAGGGAATATTAATTTGGGGGATCTTAGACATAGGGTGATTTCCA